GATTTTATCTCCAAGTGATCAAAGTGTTGAAGATATTTCTTTCAAGGTAACTACGTTTAAAAGCGCCCTAATCAAAGGTTGTTCTAAACTAAACTTACCCTAATAAAGATTTAAAGAGCTACTAAACAGAATAATACTTTCATAAATGATCGTTTCATTTTCAAACAAAGTATTTTGTAGCGCAATCAAAATATATAGACAAGCACAATGATTGCCTCAGTAAAATTTACGCAGGTAATCAACCTTAACATTCCATAGTTTAGCATTTTTACAACTAAAATAACCTCCGATGGCGCCCATTAGCCTCGAACATGTCCTTAATAGAGTTCTCACACTTGATAGACTTAATAAACCAGTCTAATTTATCACAATTCACCCTGAAATGTGGTAATTAAAAAATGCATCACGCACTTGTAATGACTTGATAAAGTACGATGCTGTGATCGGCGAATCGTGCAAGCGGCGGACAATATCCAATAACGCCGGCCATTAAATAATTAGGTCGGACAATGGTAGCCGGGTGGTCGGGTCAAGGGGTACAACAGGGCTACATGGTACAGTGCCGTACTTGCCATACGGAAATGCAGATATAGATCTCACGGTAGCGACTGACCGCAGCGCCGCAGTGGCACGCGATACACCGTCGTGCGGTCAACTCACCTGGGACCGATCCATCGGCTGATTCTCAGAGGTGATAACTGCCACTTAGGCTGCGGTGAAAACAATGGATTAACATCTAGTGAATATGGATGTTAAACTATGTATTGTTACCATTACAACATGATTGTTTGAATGTTCGGCACAAGTGATTGACAAATTACTGCGATTCAAACAGTTAATAAAAAGGAGTTTTATTGTTAAAAAACGTACATTCGTTTGAGGCTGACATTGGTTATTCAATATCAGAGATTTCACCGTCAGGGTGAGAAGAATTTTAATTGTATGCGTCGTTACAATGAATGGTAATGATAATCTGATTTTAAGTAAACTATGGATTTGTATAAAAGGGCTTACTGCATGAATCAACATGAAAATATTTCACGATTGCATAACAAGCACGCATACAATAATTGACAGTCAGTTGTTGGTCCAAAGCTCCATCACTTGAGTCCACTTTATTTACTACAGCGGATGCATTTGAATTGCCTTTCAACCTGTATAACGTATCAGTTGAATTTACTTTTGTGGTCAGTAACCAGTAAATGTGCGACCTGTATACCTTTACTGGGCAATGACAGAACGACTATAATCACAATTAGCTGTAGATCTTGAACAGCTAAGTTGTTAGTTGCATTTCAGCTTTCACCTGTCTTGCATATATTCAACAAGCCACAAGGTCAAACTGCGTGGGCGAATGACGAATGCATGTGAAACATGAGTGTTGGATTTACTGACCTATGCATCTTTGACCATTTGACCAACAGCAATAGCCCCACACACACGCCACACCGTATCACTGTATCGCATACTTACACCAGGTCTAACATATTACACACCCATACACTATAGTGTCGCTTTCAATAGAGGATATCTCAGGGTTGATGACCACCATAAATGTCAGTATGCCCGAGTGATTCGTTGGGGAATATTTTCCATCTGGTAAACTTGATTTGTTCTGACACATACAGCTTGTAAACTATAGTGTATGTTGTATTGTGTTTTATAGCGGATTATGTCTATATGTATGGAACATAGTCATTGCAGTTTCTTTTGTATAGGTTACAGTCACATGTAACACAAGACCAGGGGTTGACTGTTTCCTTAGAAAAAAAAACATACAAAATGCCATTGGTAAACAGAAATTAAAACAACATTGTCATTCCACTTAACATTATGCTAAAACACGATTGTTTATGTACAAAGTTAAAGATATACACGGAAAACCCTATACGAAAAACGACCTCCTTATTTCCACTCGTTAAAGTCACCAAGTACGAACCACGTTCTTCAACATTGTATCAAACTGTAACGGTACACCAAAAGAAGTTTTGATGTGCATTCCACATAGAATGAAGCCATTAACCGTATGGAACGGTATAGACACAAGATCGCCATAAAGTTGCAACCATGCGGCACGTCACTAACTCAGCAGTGACCAGCTTCAGCAAACCTTCGCTCAGTGCTGACGTGAGGGCTCGCGGTGAAAGACGAGACAAAAACAGCAAACTCCTAGTTAACTGGGAACTTCCTTATTGGCCCGAACCATTGTCGGTACCGCCTACGGGATTTATGACCGTTTTGCCATAACTATTTAATATTACGTTGTATGACGTCTGGACATCTGGCTGGTGGTTGGCTACGTGAGGTTGTTATATACAGACGTGATACGTGTAGAGTCTCCGGGCGATGTGGACGTGTGACTGCTCACACAACCTAATGAACATTGTAACAGAATATACTTCCTGTACTGGTACATCGTTCTGCTACAACTTAAGTTACATTTTATACATAGCATACACACATACATTATAGCTAAAAATACAACTTGTACTTTAGCCAAATAGTGCTCCTCTTCCCTAGACATATCGCTATGAAACTTGCATCCAGTAGTTGGAAAAGTTACATGTCAAATCTTCAATGACGAAAAAATCAATTCAGCTACCTTGTCACCGAAGCCAACGTCAAATGTCCACACAAATAGTCCTGTCATGACTTATACCAGGTTTTTTCTCCCGTTTTAAGTTTTTACCCGTCAACAAGCTTCAAGAAAATTCCATTTTTACCCTCGTAGATTTGAGGTATTGACTCTCCCAAATCCCCCTAGACCTAGGGTAATGTGATCCCACGTTTTTTTCAGGCTGCAACTAAATAGTTTTGCAGAATTTCACCTCCCTATTCACAACACAACCAGCTCAACCACTATTTTGCCCAAACCACCCCTTATTCCTATTAGCATGTACTCTCCATACATCGTGTTGTTGCAGGCTACAACTGATTCACTGTCCAATTTTACACCACTCTACCTTCTAGCCATACTTCAACTACTCTCTGACACCCCAACTAACCAAGAAATTTACTTAGGATACAACGTAAATATTTGCAACGATTCACCACCCTACCTCCACCCCTAGACGGCCGCACATATGGCCGACACTCATTACCACTGTGTGACTGTATGTAGGCGTGACCACTGACGAAGGCCCCACACTACAGCAGCATGCTAAGTAGCATAATGAATGATGAGGTGGCCAGCGTGTAGCCCTCGCACTATCAGCCATCTCTTCGGCGAACTCACCAAGTGTCCGCACTGCAGACTGCAGATAACACTATTGTGTCTAGGGTAATTAGCCTGCTGGAGTTTATTGCACTCTAGTCTTGCACTTGCACTCAACGGGTGGAGTTGAATTTGCAAATGTGCTTACTGAATTTGATTTAGTAGTGAATTTCTATCGAAGTCTCAACAGTTTTGAGATACCAGGTTACAAGTTACTAAGGAATCTCCCTTCCTCTGCAATGATATGAAGAGGCTGAGTTCACATTAATTACTTTTCGGGAAGTGGCTGATGTTCTCATGTTAATTACGTGAATTAAGTAAGGTTTAAACAAAGTTTACGTGTATTACTACACCAAGTCACCAACTACCGTGCAATGGCATTGGTTTTAGATTATGACTTAACTACTGATTTATTTTTCGAAATGGTGGTCAACCTTAAATGTTCAATATAATAATACCAACACCTACCATAGGCAGTGACAGAAAGTCTTGTGAGTCTTAACTTGAAAGGTAAAGTAAGGTCGTTGGTGTTTCAAATTTGAACCAAATTGTCCTTGATCCTTGGGCCTTTGGTCCTCGATACAAATCGCCGAAGTTAGCATTAATTCAAGACTCGTCCTTTACTCACCTTCTCCTTAAAATGCGCACTAGTCAACGTCATAGATATTATCTAATAAAAAATTATATATATATGAATACTCCAAGCAAACTATTCGATAATAGTTAAGGCAAACATTGGCACAACAACCAGTTCTAAAAATGTACATTTGAAATGGTACAATTCTCCTCCTAAAGACGCCCATTAAGTCCGATGAATGATGGCCTGGGCTACCGGACTCAAATAATCACAGGTTAGTCCGTAAACACGGGATTCGCGTGTAATCGGAGCCAACTTGTGATAAAACACAAGCCTGACAGCTGCCTACACAGTGCGGGGGTAGCAGTTATAAACTGATTACAGGTGTCATGGGAGGTACTAATGCAACGATGTTGCTCGGTTTGTAGCAAAATGGATCTGCAGTAATTGAAAACTAAAGTGTTGTGAGGTGAATTAGCACTAATTTTGTTAAAAGAAAAACTTAACACAAAACATAGATAGGGTTTATAAAAAAAGTTACCCACATAAGTAAAAAATAAAACAATATATCAAAAAGGTGTTTTGTACTGGAATATGTGGAAAAACAGGTGTATATATTGTGTTGAAATAAACTTAATTTTTTTTCAAAAAAAAAATGCATCAAGTACGTACAGTAGTATGACTAAAATGTAAACCAGTTTCATTGGACCAAACCCACAATGGAAAGGTTGCCGGTGTTGGATATAACCAAAGATTACATATATATGTAATCTTTGATATAACTGAACGTAATATTTTTCCCATCACATGTTCGAGATCGTTTGCATTTAAAAAAGTTCAGTGTCAGCAGTTAAGAACGCTCAAGATAGTTTAGGTCAAGTATAATTCAATTCAAGGTATCATGAGATGATCATTCTAATGTAGTTGTTGCATTAGTAGCATTCTGAAGGATTTGTTGCACTAGTAGTTTATCAGGTTCCAAAATTGATCCTTAAATTAAGGCATACAAGACTTAGCTGTAACGTAACGAAACTTTGCTGTAAAGTTTCCATCAACTATGTATTGTCTACAGATGTACCGGATAGCCATCCTACTGTGTCAGGCGGCGGCCTCCACGAAGGACATCACCAGCGGCGACGTGTCCCTAGAGGAGTGCGACCAAGAGTTGGGGTTTGAGCTCATCACCTATATAGTCTGTATTGTCTACAGATGTACCGGATAGCCATCCTACTGTGTCTGGCGGCGGCCTCCACGCAGGACATCACCAGCGGCGGCGTGTCCCTGGAGGAGTGCGACCCGGAGATGTTGGGGTTTGAGCTCATCACCGGCTATGTGTTCACCGCCCCTGACGACCTCTTGGACAGTGTTCCTGGCACTCTCATGCTGACAGACTGTCTAGAGGCCTGCCAGAGCAACGACTCTTGTCACGCCGTCAACTACGAGACAGGCCTGTGTGTGCTCTTCGCTTCCAACGCAGACACTTATCCAGGTACTGATTGGTAATTCGTTATTTTAGAGAGTGATAAAGGAACTGATTGAGGATGCAGTATCCTCTGGGCAGTGGAGGGTTGTGACTTAAGAAACTCTATTTTACCTTGTCGATACAACGTTGGATCGATATCCTAGCGGTTGGAGTGCTTACATTTAAATCAGAAGAATCCTTCTTCAGTTGTAAAAAAATGGAATATTCTACACTTTGTAAGCGCTTGTCAATGGGAAGGAAGTTTGTCCGTCTAAAACCCCACTTTGGGCCTAATAATGTTTGTTTGTGTCCCTAAACTAAAGGTGAGATAGTAAATGCAAAAGTGGGTTAGAGAAATTCACAACCTAACCCGTTTATTTCGAACTCCTCCAGTCATATCAAAACTGTTAGAAACGATAACTATAAACTAAACCTGATAGAATCGCTGTACCTCGAACCCCTACGGTAACGTTTATCTCATATTGTCGAGTTGAAACCTATTGTATTTCACCAATTGGTACATTGGTGGTTAGTATTAGATCCCGCATCCGACATACGTTAACACGATACCTTGAGCTTAAAAAATCTATCAAGAATCAAATAAACTACTGATTTACATAAGAACGTGCAGTGTGATGACGTAATATGGACCGCAATCTTTCAAAAAGACTTTGTATTGACTTTAATACAAAGAGTCTCATAACGATTGAAATACATTTAGCAGCAAGCCAGTTACCTTGGACAGATCATCAAAACCCTATTAAATTCCAGGACCAAAATAAAATACACTACTTACTAAACCAACCGTTGGTGATTTTGATAACTGTACCTACCTTAATAGTAGTACAAAACCTCCCAGTATGTGTTACCCTAACAACTAGTTTCTAATATTTTTAATTTCGACACTTAACCAAAGTATCACCTCCACAGCCGTTCCACCTGTAGCTCCACCTGTAGTATTCATACTAGATTACTAACTAAACGAGTTTCAACCACTAAACGGATAGTCCGGCTATAAATAGCAGCCGGTCTGTACTAGGAGCTATAAATTTATCGGTTTCTTGATACGGAGGTGAACAGGCTATAATCTACGATTAGCGCCAAGCCTCCGCGTCGGAAACTATTAAAATAGTTTTCAATTAATAGTTGAGAACCTGAAGTTCGCCGCTTGTCGACACGTACACCGTCCAAAAATCCGAGAGTGGGGAAAATTACGTGCTTTCTACAGGTCATCTATTCATTGTGGAAAATATTGAAAAGGAAATTTAAATAATGTGACAAATGAAACTCGGCCCGTTCATTACTTGCAGTTTCCAAAAAGCCATTTTAGAATACAAATATGGAGAAAAGGTATAAATTGTTACTAGCTCCAAAATATAAATTAAGGTGGTTACTATGCAAAGCAAAGGTATATACAAGTTGCACGATAATATAGAATTTAAATATTGTTTGACTTGTACACTACATTTAGTTTACCAATAAATAAATTAAGAGGTGTTTACTTACACATACAACATCAACGTGGTTGAAATTCTTCACGATTATAAGTTTTTAAAGGAATGCAAAGTTGAAGTATTCCACTGCAAATTGAGCCAGCCTCTATATCGTGCAGGCGTTCCGCTCACTAAGCCCTTGTACAATTTGCTACTTTGGCACATAGGTGTGATTAGTTCTTTAAATTAGTTCACTTCGTTGCGACGACTTTTTGGCGAAGTGTATGACTATGGTGCGACATTGCCGGGTTATACCTATAAAACTCGGACGTGTTTGAACCGTTTCCCCCCAAAATTTCGTGTGGTCCATTCGAAGGAAACTCCACCGGCGGAGACACGAACAAAGAAGTGAAATACATGAGTTAGTTGCTTAGACTCGACGTCTTGGAACGTCTTGCAACGTCCACACACGTTCGCAGACCTGGGGAAGGTTGCGAAAATTACGTAACGTGTAATTATCACATGGCGAGTCACACGTGTCGGGATGAGTAATGGTAGACGTCGCGTCTGTGGACCTCGGTGAAACGAAAAGTGTCTACCACCTACACTGCAACTAGCGAGGAGACCTACAGCAGAGAGTTGTGGTTGGACCTGGTGGACACAACACCCAGACGTGTCCGTGGACCTCGGTGAAACGAAAAGTGTCAACCACCTACACTGCAACTAGCGAGGAGACCTACAGCAGAGAGTTGTGGTTGGACCTGGTGGACACAACACCCAGACGTGTCCGTGGACCTCGGTGAAACGAAAAGTGTCTACCACCTACACTGCAACTAGCGAGGAGACCTACAGCAGAGAGTTGTGGTTGGGCCTGGTGGACACAACACCCAGACGCGTCCGTGGACCTCGGTGAAACGAAAAGTGTCAACCACCTACACTGCAACTAGCGAGGAGACCTACAGCAGAGAGTTGTGGCTGGGCCTGGTGGAGACAACACCCAGACGCGTCCGTGGGCCGCGGTGAAACGAAAAGTGTCAACCACCTACGCTGCAACTAGCGAGAAGACCTACAGCAGAGAGTTGTGGTTGGACCTGGTGGAGACCATAGATATAGAGATCTATGGTGGAGACAGTGCCAAGACGGATCCTAATGGTTTTTTATGCCAGTCGCTTTTTGATTAAACGCTTTTAAGGGAAAGCGGTCATTTTGATTATATGTTTTGAAGGTTAAAAAATAATACACTTAAAGAGTGAAGAAAACATTATTTAGCTAAAAATAAGTACATTAGTGCTAAAACAAGGGCGCATTTAGCACAACTTACACCAAAATCTAAAGTAAAATTTCTGTTCAACTTTGCATTATCAAAGATTATTAAGGAAAACAAGTTGTAGGTAAAATTGATGCAGGTTAAAGTGAATAACTCTTCAAATGAAATTATTCATAGTTGAAGCATTTCCCAACGCTAAATATTGCATCGGTTGCTCGGGCATGCATTATTCATGCCACGATGCACGATGCACCTCAACATCTTCATGACTCGGTCCATCATTTACTCACTTTTACAACCTCGCTTTTTCACAAGTAAACAACTAAAGTGGCGGTTTCCAACATATGCGTCGCATCTTGTATGGTAATTAGCCTATAGAAGGCACCGAGAACTGACAAAAAGCGCGACTTGTAAAAACTCTGTACGCTGGTGGCTGCGTCACAGAAGTCAGGTAATGTTTTGAAGGCATTAACGAAATGCGGTTCGTAAAAATCAATTTATGATGGTGATAAAAAGAGATGCCGCAATTAAGTGGTTAGGAACAGGTCTGAGAGGAAGCTGAGCGGGTGAGTGGCGGCGTTGGAGGCGGTGTGCATGAGCACCAGTTGGCGAGATAAGCGAAAATTACACGACTACTGCACAAACAAACAACGGAGCAATCACGAACAAACAAACCTGGCGTGGGATTACACCCCTGAACCACACCATACACAACACACACCTCAGCACACAACTACTGCAAAATAAAGAACGGAGCAATCACGAACAAACAAAACTGGCGTGGGATTACACACCTGTACCACACCATACACAACACACACCTCAGCACACAACTACTGCAAAATAAAGAACGGAGCAATCACGAACAAACAAACCTGGCGTGGGATTACACCCCTGCACCACACCATACACAACACACACCTCAGCACACAACTAATGCAAAATAAAGAACGGAGCAATCACGAACAAACAAACCTGGCGTGGGATCACACACCTGTACCACACCATACACAACACACACCTCAGCACACAACTAATGCAAAATAAAGAACGGAGCTATCACGAACAAACAAACCTGGCGTGGGATCACACCCCTGTACCACACCATACACAACACACACCTCAGCACACAACTAATGCAAAATAAAGAACGGAGCTATCACGAACAAACAAACCTGGCGTGGGATTACACCCCTGAACCACACCGTACACAACACACACCTCAGCACACAACTACTGCAAAATAAAGAACGGAGCAATCACGAACAAACAAACCTGGCGTGGGATCACACCCCTGTACTACACCATACACAACACACACGACAACCGCATGAACATATATATAGACATAAAATACTGCAGAAACAAACAACATAAGCCTACCCACTCAGGCCATACACTAAGAAATCCTAGTATAAAGAGACACAAACTATACCTTAACAACTCCTACAACTCTTCAAAATTCAAAAGAAGTAGAACTTAATTTCTTCCGTACATCTTTTCCAGGGCGGAAATTATCCCTCAATAACTTCTACACAACGTCCTTACTCAACCTTTCGGTTACGATGGGGATCTGAACACAATTATTCCTGTTGGACATTGAAACTCGTTAATTCAACACACAGGACACAATAAAGCGTTGGCTAGTTAGCATCCAGTGCAGATTGTGAGTGGTGACAGTGACAGCGCATGGCACATGGCAGGACACTGGCCTTGGAGAAGAGCGGTGACCTTGCAGCGTCCATCCACCATCCACCCAGCTGCTCTAATTGCCACTGAGTGCCATATGCTTTGTCAGTTACATGAAAGCGAACGACTCGGCGATGCTCGTATCAGTGATTAATTTCACCCTTGTCCGTTCACCCCGCAGTAAATTACTGTTGTACGCGCGTTTTCGACATTATCCCCTCTACACTGGCGAGGTTTGCCGTGTCATCTCCGCGAGACGGGAGATGGATGGAGATTGCTTTGCTAGTGCAGCAGCTAATGGCCACATGTAAGGATGGAGAATTAATAACGCCTTGTGATTACGGTGGGATTACTGTGTTGACAGTTTCTTTTATTCGCTGCTATATTGCCTGAAGTGGGCATTCCTTTATGACCTCTGGGTGTAGCCACTACGATCATGTTTTGATAGACTTTGTTGAACAAGAAGTTCCCCGCTTTATAATTAACACCTAATAATTTGTTCTTTTGAGAGGTTGTAATTGAAATCTTTCCCACTGAGTTTGGTAGAATTTATATGCTACTACTGCAGTATAACACACCACAATACGCGTATCGAGAAAATTTTACGCTTGTATGTATGACGCCATTCCGTAACTCGT